AAATTAATTAAAAAAATGTTTTTCGTATAAGAAATAAATGAAAAAAAAACACATCCAAATACATGGATACAAAATCTAAACAAAACATATAAAAAGTTTGTATTAGAGTTACTTCCCTTCGTATATATTTATATGCAAGTATAATGTTAAGTTATTGTCTTTAGGGTTAAATCAATCTCACTGACAGATTTATGTGGTCTTCCCTTTTCATCTGCCGACACACTTCAATCATTGGGTAACTAGGAGATTGGATTCTATCTTCTGTCTTGATGTTGATAATGGAGCCATAACAAATGAAAGTCTGTCAGTTTATAAACACAATAGATATAAAATAAATGTGTCACTAGAAGAATTAAAAGCCTGGGAAACCCTTAGTAGAAATTAAACATCATCATAAAAGGAGCTGTTAAATGTGTTTTTGATACTTTTATGAACCATATTGTGCTTGCAGGCTGCATGAAAACAATTAGAATACAGTTATTTCATATATGATTTGTAAACAGTCAAACTATTGGCCTCAGGTGGAGGGGATAGTGTTTTGAACTGTTGTCCAAGGCCGTAGGCGGAGGGCAACAGTTAAAAACACTATCGCCGACACCGAGGGACAACTGTTTGACTGTTTCCAAATGACATATGAAATAACTGTTTTATTACCTGCTCAATTACTGTTTAAACAGTATTTCCTGAAGAAAAAAAAGACCAAGAAAATACTTTTGCAAATATATCAATAATTAAACTTTCTCAATTAACAATATTTTAACTATGTCACGTCACGTTTGGTTTATGATCAAGATCGATGTATGCTTTAAAGGGAATCCTCTATGACGTCAGAGAACGCGAGGGGAACAGTCGAAACTATTGACCGGTCAACAGTTCGCGAACGTGGACGTTTTTGAAGATTTTCAGAAAACAGTATACAGTATTCCATATGTGATTTGGGAACAGTCAAACAATTGGCCCGAGTTGGAGGGGGTAGTGCTTTGCCATAGGCCGAGGGCAACAGTTCAAAACACTATCCCCGACACCGAGGGACAACTGTTTGACTGTTCAAAATCACGTATGCTGTTTTAATAATACTTGCAGAAGAAGAAAGGAACAAGAAAATTGTTTTGCACATATGTTAATAATTAAACTTAATGCTTTAACTATGTCACGTCACGTCTGGTTTATGATCAAGATCGATGGACGCTTCAAGTGGGAATCCTCTATGACGTCAATGACGTCAGAGCACGCGAGGAATTCAGTCGACACTATTGACCGGTCAACAGTTTGCGAACGTGGACGTTTTTAAAATTTCAGAAAACAGTAAAAAATACCAAATTACATTTATATAAGGTATCAGGTAATAATAAAAAAAAATACCAAATCACATTTATATAAGGTATCAGGTAATAATATTATATGACCCAACTGAACAATTTAACCCTTAGAAAGCTAAATATCTTAAATGAACTTGACAATTTTTCAGTCTGACCTAAACAAGTCATCATCTAAGGAAATGTTTTAGGAACTGACTTCATATTGAACCGTATTGTGACGGCACGGATATGCCGGCACGATCTTGGTCTGAACTGGTTGCCGGGTTAGACTCAGTTGTCGTCAGCAGACTAAGGATTAAAGAGCCATTTAGCCTAAAAAATAGTTTTTGTTTAATTCTAGCTGATTTACGCCATGACGTATTTCCTCTTCTTCGCCTCAAAATGCGAAAACACGAGGGGACGACAATGTTGGCGTGTCTTCGTGTTTTCGCTTTTTTTTTTCTTTTTTTTTTTCTTTTTTTTTTTTTTTTTTTTTTTTTTTTTTTTTTTTGATTTTCGAGGCAAAACGACACATACAATCAGTTGTATATTGGCATTCCATATGTTGTATTTTCGCCTTTTTTCGCATTCAAAATACAGAAATGCGGAAACATAAAGTGAAGACAAAGTACAACTTTTCTTTTGGCATTGTTACATTTTCGCATTGTTGCATTTTCACTTTTTCGCATTGTTACATTTTCGCATTGTTACATTTTCGCGTTCCGGTTGTACCTGCGCATGGAGACATCAATTTATTATTATTATTAAGTTTTGTAATGTCTGATAATAGTCTAATAATAGATCCATACATAGTCAAAAGATATGTTGTCTAACTTTGTCGTCCCTTCGTGTTTTCGCATTTTCGCATTTAGAGGCGAAGACGCGAAAGTACGACATGGCGTAAGTCAGCCACCATAATTTTCTAAATTCAGCTAATAACAAATCTTAATTATGGCTGTCAAATTTAGAATAAAGAGCTAATGGCCATCAGTACATGGATTTTCCTTATGCCATCCTTTGTCAAGTAATAATTTAGACAGGATTAACGGTACCAACCGATAGATTGAAAAAAAAACGATTTAATGATTTTTTTTTAAAAAATACATATTCTTCCCAGCAACAAGAATAACGGGGTCAATCGCATATAGCAAGAGTTTACATTTATTCACAGACTGCATATCATTCACGTGTATTAAAAATAATAACGGTCCCAAGATAGATCCTGGAGGAACCTTTCGTGTGAGGAAAAGGTACCAGATGCCTGAGAAATTCAGAGTAGTTCAAATCTTTCTTTTTCTGTAGTAGAATCGACATGGTCGGTTTTTCAATTGAGAGGAAATCTTGTTAGTAATAAATTAGCGTAAATACATTAAATCATTAACAGAGAAATTTAAAGAGAAAAATTAATTCGTACTTGACCTTTCAGAATTTGAATAAACTACATATGAATACGTTTTTACAATGACAAAGAAATGAAGCAGTTAACAGTTTATTTAAAGAAATATTTACTGTGTGTTTATAATCAGATAGTTGTTTTATTTTGTACATGTAATCCTTTAAGTAAGCATGAAACTCTTAATTCGTTAACGAGCTGGTTTTATAAAGAAAGATGTATAAATATTTATATATAAATATCTACATCAAGAAGAAATTGGTTTAGTATCTTGCATGTATTGTATGTTCAGATTTCTACTTGTAAAGAGGATTTATTTCTAATTCTTTTTTACCACAAAATAAGCAATAAAATGATCAGAGCAATTCTCAAAATATTTGTAACTAATTATGCGCTACTTGGTAGTTATTAATGCGACCCTGGTATGAGAATGTAAGGATTCCAAATCCGATTTGAAACGAACTGTGAGTGATGCAAAATTGTATTCTTAAATGAGATATAACAAACGTGTAAAGGAAAGACGAGCATTACATGTGTATTTGGTAGCTGAAACACTACCATACGTGTCTCTTGCTCCTTAATTTCCTTGGGAGCAAAAAGTAGCTCTATTTCTAAAGTTGTCTTCTTCTTCTTCTTCTGTTTGCGACCAACACTAAATTGTTACATAAGAGATTTTTGACCGTTATAAAGAAACGTTTCGTTAATGTGTAAACTGAACAGTTACGTTGTAACCTTAACAAAGCATAAGTAATGTTAAAATGATAGGCCGCTTTTCATGGAATGGCACTACTGTGTCACATTGAAGGTTCCATGATAACCGTCGTATGAACACGTCTACGGATGTTTCTAAATTTAAAATTTTACCATTACCATGATTAAATGTTGAGTTCTGCTTGGACCGGTGCTGGGTGTGTGAGCGGTGGCTTGGCTTTCCAGTACCTTCCATGAACAGCTAAATCAAACCGAGCCTGCAACATTTTCAAGTTGGGCTTTCTTTAGGGATTCGGTTTTTCTATTTTACACCATAACGAGGACCTGTTTTCTCATTTGAATTTAGGCATTTTTTTATCTTGACATTAATTATCATCATCATCATCATCATCATCATTATCATTATCATTATCATCATCATTATTATTATTATTATTATTATTATTATTATTATTATTATTATTATTATTATTATTATTATTATTATTATTATTAATGTCAATGTTTTTCAAACTATAATAAAATCTGGGAAAATGGTGATCATTCGGATGCATGTACATGTACTGTACATGAGGTATAATGAAAATGAGCAACAACCCTCGCGCCCTGTAGCACCGGCATGAGCGGTAATTTCCTACATTTGAGCCGCTCTATGACAAAACCAACATAATGGGTTTGCGACCAGCATGGATCCAGACCAGCCTGCGCATCCGCACAGTCTGATCAGGATCCATGCTGTTCGCTTACAAACCCTATAACAAGTAGAGAAACTGATAGCGAACAGCATGGATCCTGATCAGACTGCGCGGATGCGCAGTCTGGTCTGGATCCATGCTGGTTGCAAACGCATTATGTTGGTTTTGTCGTGACGCGGCTTATTTAAAGGCGCAGGAATCACTAATCACGAATGACCAGAAAAAAAATATAAAGACTTAAGTTCAATCTTTTAATTCGGAAAAGTGAATATAAGTAAATACATTACAGTACATGTAGTAATAAAGTTTGGCTGAAATCAAAAACAAATAATAACCAGCATCTTTAAAATTTTATTTCTCATGATTACATCAAATATGATCATTCATCATGTATTTTGGTCTCTAATAGAAACTATACTTTACTTTTACTATAATACTTTTATGTTCCCTTTTGTCGACGTTAAGAGAAGAAGAAGAAGAAAAGTTTATTTCCAACTTGAACACTTAGAGTACCTCGTTGTTTCAAGTACATGTAATAATAAAATAAAATTAACAAAGAAGTTAAAGATAAGAATAACTTAAACTTATCTCTGCAGTAGATTTCTGTATTTCTTTTCGTCTAAAGCACGATCATGATGAATTGTTAATTTGAATTATAATTATATTTCTTCGTTGTTTTTTTAATTTGTTTCATCGCATACATTTTGATATGCCCGTATGTATGTTTACAGGGTTGACTCTTGGAAGAAAAAAAATTATCAAAGTAAACATGTTATCAGTTGTTCGTTGATAAGTCAACACAACAAAGTCACCTTCCTCATGTCACAATGCAAGCGTAAAATACACAGTCGTCGTCAATCCGTTTGCTGGTTTCTCCAGTGCGATAAACAACAATTGCATGAAATGAAACGGTCATAAACACTGATAATGTTAATCTAACAGTATACATTACCGTTACATAAAACTTAGAAACTTTACTTTTTTGTATTGAAATAAAAATTCAAATAAACCAATATTATATGAAGTGATACATCTTTAAACGTAATTATAGTTTATAGTTAGCCATTTCATTCCGGGTAGGGTGTAATACGGACAGTGATTATTATTTACTATCAAGTATAGACTCTAACAGGTTTCGCTATATCGGGTTTGTTTTCTTTTCAAGTTATATAATAAAACAAAACTTCAGGATATGAAAGTAAATAATTCGACAGACAACGTGTTGTAAATCTTCAGTTAAATAACCTTTTTTTTAAAAAAAAAAATCCCGTGACAATTGTCGAATGGGAAGATATTTTTGATACATTGTTCAAGTGAACTGTTGATTTGAGTGACAGGAAAGTGTTTTAAAGACATACGTTGTGATAGAAAATAACAGGGTGGATCATAATGGCTCAGGTAAGTGAAATTAATACTTTATGAATTCTTTAAAATCACGTGAAAGAAGCCTTATTTCATTTTGTTTGTTTCTCTGTAATATATTATTTGATTCATTTTCTTTAATGGTTTCTAGTGTTCTATTTCATCATTGAAATGGTACATGTAATTTTCAATTTAAAAAAATAAGTGTATTAAGTACATACATGTGTACCATTGTTTAGTATGCTAAAATTGTATAAATATGAACCAAAATAATTAACAAAAAATATTTGAAAAAAATGTTGCCAGTTACCTGATTACGCAGAACCAAAGATTGTGCCAATGGGTGCTTTTTATTTGTTTATAATGTCTCAATTAAGAATATAACATATACAAGGATAAGCTTTTCAAAATTTGAACAAGGAGAGTTAACACCTACTTTGAATGATTACATAACGTTTAAGTTGGAGTATAATTAAATAAAACCTCGTAGTTTATATATTTATCATTTTCTTACACTCACTATCTTCACATTTTTCATGTGCCAGATAAGAGTGTTTTATTTATTCAACATTTTACACTTTCGAATGTAACTTTAAAAAAAAGCTTTATTGTTACGCTAATTGTCATTCACGTGTGTTATTTATATGTATGATGTATTGTGTAGCGCTGTTTTTTATTCCCTCAAGTTTTCTTTTTTATTTAATCATTAAAAGATTAACAAGAAAACCGCAGCTTTGAACATTCTCCCTGGAAAAAATAGTTGGTCCATAAAACACAACTTTCTAAAGAATTCCAGATTGATTTTCCGGGTGGTAAATACTTTTAGAATATCCTAGCAAGTTTTAGTATGTCGTTTGCTGCACTTCAGCCGGATTAACACATCTTTCATCTTAAACTATAATTCAAGTTGGTTACAAAAACCTTCCATTTTAAGAAAATGAAGAAAAGATATGCTCATTTTTTCTCATTTTATTTTATCTTGTTAGACTAAGAAACAGTGACAGACAAATCCAGATTTATTTCATGTACTTATATGATTGCCTGATTTATTCACTGCCTATTTATAAAACTTCAATTAAGAGAAAAAAACATCCAAAAATTTACACGAAGGTTGTTCTATATACTCGTGCGATCTATTCAAAGGCAGAAAACAAATTTATCATATATTTATATCCAAATATAATATGTTATACTTATACTAAAAGGAATTATATAGATATGACTGCTGTAGCATATAAACGTCAATCACGAAACAGCTGGATTCATTGCGGCCTTCAGCTTCTAGTTATTAAATATGTTATCTTTAGATAAATCGTTTTATATAATTGTCAAATCAAAAGAATTAAGGTGAAAAAACGAAATTTGCCGTCGATGAAATACATATACAATAAGGAAACCCCCGGATCATACCTTTAATATACCGGTCCGCACTCTATATGTAAATTATTAGAGTAGATGATTAGTTTCCCCCATCGTCTATTTTTTCGGGACGCTGTTTTGAAGAAGGCTTAACGATTATATGAGTTAAAATTACTGAAATACTTAGTTTGAAACAATACAGTATTGCTTTTTTCTTTTAAATAAAACAATAAAAAACTGAAGGCCGCTTTAAAGTATTACATGATAAAACATTAGTATGAAGTTCAATAACTTTGCTTTCAATACAAATACATGACGTATAATGCAGTCGCTTTTTGTGGCTATATAAGATGTAACCGTATATTCAAACTTTTGAAAACAAATGTAAAATCCTCAGTAAAACAAAAAGGAATGTGAATACATGTATTGTCATAAAGTAACCTGACTTATGTAAGAAGAATTTATCTGCAAGTTTTCGTGTCAAAAGAAACTAAATGTATTTAAATGTATGGATTTATTTATCAACATTTAAATATCGATGATTTGATTTGAAAATAAATTATTGTGAGCTAATGTGACAGTTGTCATAAGGCTTTGTATTTAATGCTATTTTATCTTCTTTTATCTCGTACACCATTCTATTATTACTTTGATTTGATTTCGGTGTTCTCAGCGATCCAAAGTCTTAAAATGTTGAAACGAAAATCCCTTTATTTTTCTGTCTATATTTGACAATGTTGTAAAACTGAACGATAAGGATTTCTTGACTTTACAAACTACTCAAAACGTTAGAACAAAGTCGTAAATTATTAACAATTTTAACGTTTTCAAGTTGGTGGCTAGTCTTAAAAAAGGGGACCTCCTGTGCACCTAATCCCTCGTTACATACAACACTACTTTTATCTTACTTTAAAAGATATTGTCTGCATTAAAATCATGTATATCAAAACTTGGTTATAATACGTCATCAATATTGTAAGTGAGTAAGCATTTTAGCTGTACTAAAACCATAACCCTCAATCAAGTTAGGATGATGAAACACAAATTCCCTTACACTCAAAGTTTCTACATTATCATAGAAAATAAAATTACGCTATAAAATTGAAATCTTTTTGGGAGAGTGGGGTAGCAAAAATTCCGTAGAAATTATTGTCGGCATTAACAAAAAACATAGTAATAATATATAGATACTGACCTAAAGAGAATTTGGTCTACAAAGGACACATTATCCATGATATTTTCAAATATTCATAAAACAATTAAAATGTCACATTTTGTTATTCTTACAAAATTCTTTCAGAAAAGAAATGTTGGATAAGAGTCCTACGTTATTAATATGATAAATAATAATATTTTGTTCTAGAACAATTAATTATCTGCTACATATAAACATGTTACTAGAGTATATCGGATCTTGTATCTCACACTTATCAATAACATCCATATATAATTCGTCCATGGTTTGTTGTCATTAATAATGCTAAATACTATCAATAAAATTATTAATGGTATAACAGATATTCCATTATAGACCAATTCACTTGAATATGATAAACTTCGATATTATGTGAACTTCTATTACTGATTCATGTTTCATGTTTTAGATTTGTTGACTCTTCATATAAAACCCTGAGCATCACACATTTCAACACCTGTACAAAAAACAAAGAATACAATACCATTAATTACAAGTCATCTTTATAGAACTAGTCAAATAACAGATATCTCAGGTTTGTTAGAATATCAGTACAAGTTAATGTCTGGTCATTTTGACAAATGTAAGCTATGTTTATGTTTCAAATAGTCATAAATCAGCAACATTAGAAACATAGTTGTTTAGATGATACGACTATAAAATTTACGAAAAGTTTTACGTTCTATAATATTTCAGACTGATTGGGTTGTTTATGGAAGTCCGTTGTGGCATAAAGATACTGTTCAAGAAAATGTCAAAGACCTTCCAGGGCCAAAAGAACTTATAACGCTTGAAAACAAGTTTGTGAACGATGCTATACGAACCACGGTGTACTATTACCCCAGGAAAAAGCCAATCATCCCGGTGTACAGTGCCAGACAGGACAAGTGTGCCAAAGCCTATTTCCAGTCACCACTTGTCAAAAGTTTACTCAAGAGAGAAAGAATGTCAGATGATGTAAGTTTGTATTCTATTCTTTTTCCTACAGTATTTTCTTATATATATATGAAATATTTCATTTAACGATAAACGGTAAAACCACTAAAAGCATAGTAAAGGAGAGGTTGCTTTACGGATATTTTCAAAGATATTTTAGAGACCCTACCTTAAATAGATGTAGACATTTAATTTATTAATGTAGGGTATACTCGTATTCGGCATGAACAAAGTGAGTATGACCAAATAAGGCAACGATATGGTGATTTATTTTACAGGTTCTCGAGTATCTAGACTTTGTAATACTGTTAACAACTTGTTTAGTTTTAGATAGGTCATAAATTTAGAAGTATATTTACAAAACACATGATGATTGTTATGAAGGTTATTATCTGTTTGCAATCAAAAGTTAAAATTGGACTATCGAAGACTAATAAATCATTATTTGTTTGGCCAACTACAATCCATTTATGATTTATGTTAAGTGGGTGGATTTATCAGTAAAGAGGACTCCATGTAGTGAAATATAATAACATGAAATGGTAAAATAAATACTTATATGGTATGAAATCTGTGCATATCAGTTTGCAAATAAGACAGTTTAATACTGAATATTGATTGTAATAAATAATAAAACCATGATACGAGTACATTGTGTGATTGATAGACGAACATTTATATGTGTTTCGTCAAATAGTTGACGATGTAGACCATCTCCGTTTGAATAGAAAACTTACTGTACTGTAGGCAGAATGCTGTTGTACAAGAGCTTTAGCATATACACGAGACAAAAAAAATCCAACTATTTAGAAAGGGTTTAGTCACATGGGGCCAGGTTTTAAGAATAAACCTTCTTATCTAATGCTCCTACTTGATTTTTCACTAACGCTTTTGAAATAAGTATTGTCCTTTGCGACGAAGCACTGCCATTGAACAAGAAAATGTTTGCCATTACTTTTCTCGGTCACCTTTGTGTTCATATTTTGTAACACTTTCCTGCAAATAAGGTTAGCGATGACATTTTATTTTCCTGTCGAAGGCAGACCGAACCATGTATAGAATATATTTTTTAAGTCTTTCGCAACAATTGTATAGTCTCAAGCAATTAATGGTCTGATGCCCATACCTGCGAACTTGTTCAATGTTTCAGCACCAGTAAGTTAAGCTTGCCTCCCGGTGATATGCGCTCTGCATTAATTATGAATTCAAGCATTTTTGTGCAGTTATAATTTACTTGGAATGTTTTATGTTAATATTTTTAAAGCCTTAAAGCCAAAACCCAGAATAGAACCGAAATAGTGTCGAGAATAATGTACATGTATGTTATTGTTGATAAAACGATACTACATAGTACATAACAAAGGCGTCATAAATATATTGTGAGATACATTGTACATGTTCACTCATGTCCGATTTGAATTTTTTCCCTTCATAGTTTAGATTTGGAAACATACACGGTAGTATGGACGTTAATCCTTTCAAAATGGCATTTCTCTTGTTTGAAACTGCGAATAGGGTTGTAAAGGTCATCGATAGAACAAAGACCATTGAGTTTGTAATAACATATCTATGTTTAAAGCCTAGAAGAGCTATGTTTGAGTCTCTTAGAAATGAAAGGTTGATTAAGGAGCAAGTTAAGTGTCAACTCGTATAGTAGTGATTGATCTTTCATACAAATATGTCACTGTTCAATAGATACGTAATACATTTGTGGTATTTACATATCTTTGTATGGACAACGATATGACGGGGTTGTGAATGTTACGTTTCCAAAAAGAAAACTTTATAATTCACACTTGATTATAAAGACCCCTTGTTTAAGTTTTCTGCGAACACAACTTTAGTCTTTACTTTCATAACCCAGGATCATTTGTTTCAGTATACTAGTATTTAGGCTTATTACACTTGATCTCATAATAGTACAGATTGAGATTGGTAATTTATCAATAAGATTGGGAGCTGTACTCATAACAATAAAATAATCAAACAATTACAATAAAGAATAAAAATGATAAACAATAAAGTAATATAGAAACTGCGTGCTGGTCTCATAACAGGAACATTGCAATTGGGAATTGTTCAAAGGTCTGAACAATAACATTGACATTTGGAACTAACTTTATTTGAACTAACAATCAAACAGAAAAAACTGTTCTCTTTAACAATAACAAAAACAGTAAAAATGAGAAACTTTTCTCATAACAATAACAGTTATATGATGAACTAACAACATAACAATAACAGTGAAATTTGGAACCGTCCTTTTAACAATTTCACCGATTTTCAGTCGAGATGAAAAAAAATGTCGTGAAACAATGATATACTTGTAAAGTTCTTACGTAATGCAGATCTTATAAAGATAAATCATATATAAAATGACACAGAATTACTTGCATTATTTTGTCTCCCTATTTACGCTTCCTAAATAATCTCTATCGTGTGCAAGGCTTAACTAGCAGTGTACTCAATTGATTTTAATTCTAAAAACATCTCTTCTGCACACCGTTTAATGAATGTAAAATATGCTCGTGTCAGTGACATGGAATATCTTGTCTAATTAAATCATCATTATTTCCATGTTACCAAATATTTTCATTACACTGTCAGACACAAACCATGACTCACGTGGACATCTTAGAAGTCCTGTTATATTTGCATAAAGCTTTGTTTATCAAGATAAGGTGTCTATATTTCAAACATTTTCTTTATACAGACTGTTGAATACGATTATTAACAAACTATTATTTATGCAAGGCTTCCATTGACATCTCTAAATTGACTTGAAACGATTATCGAATAGAAACACACATATTTCTTTATCCGAACAGATTATTAGAGTGGATTTAGTGATGACTAAATTGATTTTGTTTCAAAATCAAAACATTTGTGAGTTATGTTGTCAATTTGGCACGATATCTTATGATATTGACATTTCTAAACCTTTGTAAAGGAAAATTGGCCAGCAGTATTGTACTGTTTTTATATAATGATACACAGAAATGATAGTCCAAAACTACCTATCATCATTCTTTAATGGATTTTTTTGTACATTTTGGCAATGCTTAATGTCGCAACCGCCTTTTTTTCTGACGAGTATTAAATTATTAATACGGTTGTGATACTCAACAGATATGTTGCCACATTTACATTTAGCAGGGTGTAGAAAATAGCAATATCACAATAACCACCATTAATTTGTGTACTCCACCGGCTTTTTTGGGAAACAAAACCGAATATATTTGTCATATTTAGGTAAAGCAATACCAATATATTTATAGAATTAATTATGTTTAATTTAAAGTTTTTATTAGACAAAAAAGTCTGACTTGACGTCTTTCCGAGCGATGTACGCAATGTTTCTTTTCGCTTCAGTGTATAAATTTTAGTTCTTAACTTCAAACTGAAATGTAGTGACTAAAACGTATTTGTTTTAATATAATAAATAGCTATACAATAACCTTAATGTTAGATTTATGCTGCGCTTTAGATTATGACAGTGTTTCTAGGAAAAAGCATTTCAATGACTGGTTATTGATTGTTAGTATTTGTATATAATGTCGCGTGAAATCATTTTAATTGTATATAAATTAGACATAAGTAAAGATGAATTCTACCTTAAAAGAACTTGACAACCTATTGTTTACTTTATTAAACAGATATTTCAAATACGAAAAGAATTTATTGACTTTTGATTGAATTGTGAAACACGGTTATCAATATTTATGAAAACTGAGATATTCCTTCTCTTACAAATTTACCATTTACAAAACTAGTGTATTTCTCACCTCTTCAAGTGTTCCGTATCTTTGACGATAATTTACAATTTATTGTCTACAAACATATAAACTTGTTATCGTATCTCGAAAACAAACAATAACTTGACTTTTAACAGTTTCGAAACTTGATAAAAAAAAATCAAAAATTGATAATACCGTATCTGAGAGGCATAGAGCAGAAAAAAGAACGCGCTTGTCACAGAAAGTTTAAAATATTAAAGGGAGAGAATCGAATGTATGTATTACGGAGACAGTGTTAGGATTAACTGTGTATCTATCCGCTTTATTTAATCCGATCAATCGCACACGAGATCATTCAGATAGGCTATCTGTTAATCTATATCAAAATTTTATATATATTATAAGAGATACTCAAAGGTGATGTGTGAGTGAACAGAACTAATTAATAAAATTAGAGAGAGAAAAAAATGTCGGACTTTTTAATGGATGTTGAGATACGGAAAGCAAGCGGTAGAAATGATAAGTTAAACGGAGATATAACTCGGACAAGCAGCTTTCAAGATCGCATCGATCAAAATGGTTCATCAACCCCGGCGGAAAGAGAAATTGAAAACATTTTACGAGAACATGCACGGGGCAGCCCAAGACGAAGAAATCAGCATTCGCCGTTAAAATCTTACTCACCGACGCGCTCGACATCACAATCACCTCGACGTGAACGTTCTTTTCTACGTTCAACGTCACCGGACAAACTGCCATTTCGAAAGTCTGCTATATGGGCACAATGGGGACAGTCAAAAAACGACGGTCAAGATTATCTTCAGGAATATAATGTTAAACAAATGACAAGTTTATATGGAAAAGATTTACGCGGGAAAGTAGATGCGGCATCAGATTGGTACAGAGTGAACGGCCTTGACCGGAGTAAGACCCAAACAGAGGCCTTGAACTGGCTTTCACAGGTGCGTTATATATAGTTTTACCCTGCTTGCTATGTCTCAAAAGTATTCATCAACTTTCCCCAAAAGTTCATATTAAAAAATAAACAAATTGAATTAGGAACGTTTTCTTCACACGAAGACATGTAGATAAGTGTGTCTGAATTACGATAAGTTTTTTTTTTAAGATTTAAGAACAGTTTTATTTAAAACTTGTTCACAGTACATCGCCATGCAAATAGATAAAAAAGAATTATCACGTCATGTGGTCATACTAACACAAAATACAGTATGACACTTAATCGGGTAATAGAAAATATATTTATTTACAGATAGAATGCTATCA